TCGGACACGTGGGCAGACGCTGGTCCCCGAGTTCAGATCCTTGGGAAGACAGTAGATCAAACAGGCAGAACGTGGGCCTCCGTTGGGCCAATGAAGTTCCTCACCTTAGGAAATCGTGACAGGAGGCCTCAGAGGCGATCTCTATAGTCTCTGGGAGCTGGGAAGTCCAAGGCCTCTTAGTGGGAAAGTGAGGCGCAGGGTCTTGCAGAGCCCACTCTACACAGGGCCAGATACAAATGGCCGTAGAGGTCTTAGGTAACACCTTCTCGGTCATTTAGTTGCACCTCAAAGAAGCCAGGGCTTTGGTTTTCTGTTTGTTTCATCACAGTTGACAGGTTAAAAGCATTCACCGCAGAGATCTGTGAGAATTAAGAGGGGAGAAGGGAAAATGGAATAAAACTTCGTTTTGTAAAGCTGCCATTTTGCCTTTCCTGAGGCGTGGTAAGTGAGGAGAGCAGTGTAGGTGAGCCCTGCTGGGGACTCTGCCACATGTTACTGCTCCAGGGTCACAGCAATTTCTAGAGTATGCCTCCAGGTCTCTGCGGAGACCCTCATAACCTGCTTAGGCCCACAGTGCATGGGCGGTATTCTGACTTCAAAAACTAGTGACCTTCAGAGGTGGGTGGGCCACCCACCATCTCTGCACCCAGCTTCTCAGGTCCAGTAGTGACTGAGCAGAGACTGGAACCCGCGGATGTTGGTGTCAGACATCTAGGTCCTCTGACTGCCCCCCCCCCCTCCGCACCCCAGATCACACTCCTTTCACTCACCAGTCTGGGCACCTCTAAACTCCAGGAGGTCTCCCCGGCTGAATCTCAAAGGAAAATTTCGTGGCATTTTTTTTATATCCAGTCAGGAGTAGAATTCATTACATCTTGTGGTCCTGGCACTGTGAAGGCCTGCACTCACAGGAATCTGTCAGTCTTCGTATTTGTTTGCCAGACCAGCATAAGCTGAATTCTTCAATACAAGATAACATTCTAAAATGCTAAGTTTTAACATTTAATCATTCCCTGTACTTAAATCATTGTCTACCCTCAGGTGACAGTTAAAGGATAATTAAGGGGCC